TCATCCCAAATCTGATGTTGAGCGTCTGTATGTGCCCAGATCCGAAGGAGGCAGAGGATTAGTTCAACTAGAACTGTCCTACAAAACTGCAACAATTGGCCTCCAAAGATACTTGGAAACGACAGAAGACTGGATGATGGTATGCGTCAAGGAACATGAAAGTAGTAAGCGTCTTTACTCCGTAATGAAAGACGCCAACAAATTCAAAATGGAGTTTCAAATGGGCGTAGAGATGCAACTACAGCACAATACACCGGCTGAAACTGCAAAATACTTTAAAAAGACAGCAAAGACGAATGCAACCGACCAGATACAGAAGCGATTGCAAGGTAAACCGCTTCATGGCCAATATTCTGCCCGTACCAAACAAGCTAATGTAGACAAAACCCGTACCCATCAGTGGCTACGTAGTGCAGGGTTGAAAGCGGAAACTGAAGGTTTTATCCTTGCTGCACAGGACCAATGCTTGCTAACTAAGAATTATCAAGCACATATACTAAAATATTGTGTCAGCCCAAAATGCAGATTCTGTGATAAGTATCCAGAAACGATTGATCATCTTGTATCAGGTTGAACGATATTGGCACCCTCTGAATATAAAACCCGGCATAACAGAATGGGCCAATATCTGCACTGGAAAATCTGAAACTTCTACGGGAAGGAAACTGAAAGAAAGTGGTATGAACACCACCCAGACCCGGTTACGGAGATAGGACCTGTTACAATTCTATGGGACTACACAATACACACTGACAGAACAATCAAGGCCAACAGGCCAGATATTGTTATTAAAGACCACAAACAAAAACGGTGCCTTCTTATTGACATGGCAGTCCCTGCTGACTGCAATATATCTTTGAAGATATTCAAAAAGTTGTCAAAGTACAAGCACCTTGAAATAGAAATCTCGAAAATGTGGCACATGGGAACATTAAGAATCCCTGTTGTAGTTGGAGCCCTAGGACTGGTTGGAAAAGATTGCAGTAGACTAATTGAAGGGATTCCTGGAAGTCCATGCCTCAAGGAGATACAAAAACTTGTTCAGACAAGTACAGCCCACACTTTACGAAGGGCTTTATCTATGTAATATATGTATATATATATATATATATTTTTTTTTTGTCAGTGGAAAGTGTCATGATGCCATTTCTAACCTTAGGTCCCTGGGCGGGACCCGGAAAGAAATGTGTAAACGCCAGAAATCAAAGAAAATAAAAATAATAATAATAATAATAATAATAATAATAATAATAAATCCCGGAATGGATTACTGAAGGTATTACACACCTCATACCAAAAACAACTGAAACACAAGACCCGAAAAATTATAGACCGATAACATGTCTCTCCACAACGTATAAGTTGATCACGTCTGTACTGACGAACCGTACTTATTCCTTTCTGGAAACAAACAGCATTCTCCCGCTGGAACAGAAGGGATGCAGAAGAGGTTCATATGGCTGCAAAGATCAATTTCTGATAAATAAAATGATCCTGGAAAATTGCAGGAGACGACGCAGGAATCTAAGCGCAGCGTGGATTGATTATCGTGAAGCCTTTGATAGTGTTCCACATTCTTGGATACTTAAGACTTTGGAAATGTACAGAGTCTCCCCTGTGGTATTAAATTTCCTTAAGCACAGCATGGGAATGTGGAACACCAAACTATACCTTAGTCACGCCGGGGGCACTGCCGTATCCAACCGTCTGAATATCCGACGTGGAATCTTTCAAGGGGATTCTCTGTCACCCCTTCTGTTTTGTTTATCCTTAATCCCTCTTATACATGAACTGAACAACAGTAGCTATGGTTACAAAATAAATAAGAAAATATTCAATCACCTAATCTACATGGATGGTCTCAAACTCTTTGCCAAAGACGACAATGAGTTGAAAGGCCTCCTCAATATTGTAAAATACTTCAGTGACGACATAGGTATGAACTTCGGATTAGATAAATGTGCAAAAGTGACTTTCAAGAAAGGTAGAATTACAGAAACACCCTTAATAGATTTAGATATTGTCACAAAGATTAGGGAACTGGAGCATGGTGAAGCTTATAAGTACCTAGGAATTAGCGAAGGAGATGGCATACAACACCCCCAAAATGAAGGAAAAAATAAGAAAAGAGTACTACAGGCGTGTACGTCTGGTACTAAATACTGAGCTAAACGAGAAAGCTTCTCACTTGCTATCGCATGCATCATCCCAAAGCTGATGTTGATCGTCTGTATGTGCCCAGATCCGAAGGAGGCAGAGGATTAGTTCAACTAGAACTGTCCTACAAAACTAAAACAATTGGCCTCCAAAGATATTTGGAAACTACAGAAGACTGGATGATGGTATGCGTCAAGAAACATGAAAGTAGTAAGCGTCTTTACTCCGTAATGAAAGACGCCAACAAATTCAAAATGCAGTTTCAAATGGGCGTAGAGATCCAACCACAGCACAATACACCGGCTGAAACTGCAAAATACTTTAAAAAGACAGCAAAGACGAATGCAACCGACCAGATACAGAAGCGATGGCAAGATAAACCGCTTCATGGCCAATACTCTGCCCGTACCAAACAAACTAATGTAGACAAAACCCGTACCCATCAGTGGCTACGTAGTGCAGGGTTGAAAGCGGAAACTGAAGGTTTTATTCTTGCTGCGCAGAACCAATGCTTACTAACTAGGAATTATCAAGCACATATACTAAAATATTGTGTCAGTCCAAAATGCAGATTCTGTGATAAGCATCCAGAAACGATTGATCATCTTGTATCAGGTTGCACGGTGTTGGCACCCACTGAATATAAAACCCGACATGACAGAGTGGGCCAATATCTTCTCTGGAAAATCTGCAACTTCTACGGGAAGGAATACACTCTGACAGAAAAATCAAGGCCAACCGGCCCGATATTGTTATTAAAGACCACAAACAAAAACGGTGCCTCCTTATTGACATGGTAGTCCCTGCCGACTGCAATGTATCTTTGAAGATATTCAAAAAGTTGTCAAAATATAAGGACCTTGAAATAGAAATCTCGAAAATGTGGCATATGGGAACATCAACAATCCCTGTTGTAGTTGGAGCCCTAAGACTGGTTGGAAAAGATTGCAGTAGACTAATTTAAGGGATTCCTGGAAGTCTATGCCTCAAGGAGATACAAAAAATTGTTCTGACAAGTACAGCCCACACCTTACGAAGGGCTTTATCTATGTAATTTATTTTTTTACTTTTTTTTTTTTTTTTGTCAGTGGAAAGTGTCATGACGCCATTTCTAACCTTAGGTCCCTGGGCGGGACCCGGAAAGAAATGTGTTAACGCCGGAAATCAAAGAAAATAAAAATAATAATAATTATAATACACCAAGGATTGATCTCATATCATTTTTGTCTTTAATTGATCGGTGAATTAAAATAAACTGCAGTAAATATGTTCACTACAGCAGATTTGTTTAGTTTAAAAGATGAGGCAGCCATGGCAACTTAGGAGTCGCATCGAGATACTTGTGAACACCCTCAGCCGGAGCGAAATGGGCTAAGCGAAATGAAGCTATTTCTAACTGGATCTTACCTTGAAAATTAGTGTGCTGGTCATCATCGCAAATATTTGGCTGTGCTGCGTGTGTCGGATATACTCTTATCAGACTGGGTGGCATGATGGGTACAATGGGCTTCGTATATTTGCGCCCCATCACCAGTTCATTAGCGTACCACTCTCTCTCTCTCTCTCTCTCTCTCTCTCTCTCGCTCTTTCCCTCTCAATAATAATACTGAGTCGAGTCATAGATAGCTTTGAGTCGTCTATGTGAAATAAGCTGTGAATTTCTGTAAAAACTGAAAATGCTTTTGATACATCCTAATAGAAACATGTTTTCTATTTTTTTTTTTTTTGTGAGGTGGGGGGCTTTTCAGTTTAATATATGATACGGCTCATCATAAATTTTGATTAGGAAATTCATTTGACCGCCGAATTCGGGATTTTGGTCTCCTTTCTACTTTTAATTTGCTGATCGAATCTTTAATTTTCTTTTACCTTTTTTCTGGGAGTGGGGGATGCATTCTGATGTCAAATTTCAGAATGTAGCAGATTGTGTAAGTATTTCATCCTTCGTATCTTGGAACCAATCGAGTTGCAATTGTCATGGAGTTTAGGTTTATCTAAGAAAGAAAGGCAAAGATGGAAAAGAAAGAAAGAACGTAAATAAAAGACAAAGAAAGAAAGAAAGAAAAAAAGAAAGAAAGGAAGAAAGAAAAAGTGAAGGAAGAAAGAAAATGACAGGCAAAATAAATAAAGAAAGAAAGAAAGGGGAGAGAAGGAAAGTGAGAGACAATCAAAGTGAAAATGAAAAAGAAAGAAAGAAAGAAAGAAAGGGAACGCTTCTGATCCAATCTCCCCTTATTTGGAGAGAGAATTGGATTAGAATTAAATGTGGGCGACGAAAGCTTCATATTTCGATGGAAAAAAAGCAAAAAACAAACTTGGTGAAAAAATGCGGATTAGAAAACAATCAAGAATGAATTCAAAACGGGCCATTTGTTTTTCGTTCTCGTGGATTGGGCCGAAGAAAATTTAGAGGTGCGAACAGGTTTAGGAAGGAGAGCGCTTTGGTATCGTTTATCTAGTGTGTGTGTGTGTGTGTGTGTGTGTGTGTGTGTGTGTGTGTGTGTAGTTTCGAATGATAAGAGACCAAGAGAAAGGATTAGGCGTCTTTGCTAAAATTTACATTACTCACATTTTATAGCACAATCTTGGCAATATAGTGGTAATTTAGAGGCGAATAAGTTTATAAATCTACGAGTAACTACATACCATAAAATTATAACAGTGATATTTAAGCAACTTAAATTCTAAAAATGTTAAAAAAAATACGTTTCTCTTTATTTACTTATATTCAATAATTTCAGAATATTAAATGAAAATAAAATTAAAATTAAGATAATTCATCTTTTGATTCTTCCTCTGTTCTATTAAGAAAAAAGACCATAACGAATGAAAGGAATTTTTAATATTTTACAACGGCACCAAACTGCTCCCAATTAATCATTTTAAAGGAGTTTTTTGTGTGATTGATGATAACCTCCAGGAGGGCAACACACTGTGCCTACTTGGTCTCACGTTTTCCACTAACAATAATTGGAACGATTATATTGAATCCTTTCATAAACCCGGTGCTAGAAATATTGGTTCACTAGTAGAGGATAGAAGAAAAGTGAGAGACAATCAGAAGCAAAATGAGAAAAGAAACGTGAAGCAAGAAAGAAAGAAAGAAGAGGAAAGAAGAAAAATGAAAGACAAAGTCAAAATGAGCAAAGAAACGTGAAGAAAGAAAGAAAGAAAGAAAGAAAGAAAGAAAGAAAAAGAGGAGAGAAGGAAAGTAAGAGACAGTCAAAATGAAAAAGAAAAATGAAGAAAGAATGAAAGAAGAGGAAAGTCAAAGTGAAAGACAAAGTCAAAATGAGAAAAGAAACGTGAAGAAAGAATGAAAGAAAGAAAGAGAGAAGGAAAGTAAGAGACAATCAAAGTCAAAATGAAAAAGAAAAGTGAAGAAAGAAAGACTTTTTCTCACCAAAATCTATCTTACACCTTTATAAGTCTACCATTAATTCATCTGTGCATAGACTATTGCTGCCACATCTGGTCTGGTGGTTTTGCTATATATCTCTAGTTTCTTGACAAAATCCAATGAAGAATCGGCAACATTATCGATCCTACCCATGGCTTCTCGGCTACAGTCACTTTCCCACCGCCTTAACGTAGCTTCCCTGTGTCATTTCGATACACATGTTCAAGGTAATTCTTCTGATGACCTTTCCACTTTGGTACCTCGACTTCAGGAATTTAAGACCAGTATTAGATTGGCAGCTAACTAGATAGATAGATAGATAGATAGATAGATAGATAGATAGATAGATAGATAGATAGAGATAGATAGATAAGGATATTCTCTCATGTATTAAATATTCTATATTGTCATATAATGTTGAGTGTACAATTACTGTTGCTCATCCTAATTGGGTATCACATATATGTAATTTTCTACTGTATTAAGCTATACTTTATAAATCGGTCGTCTTTCTAGTTAGCCCAACAGATTTAAACTAATGTGTAGTGGATTTGATCTTCGTTGTCTTCCCCTGAACTATGAGCTTCTATCAACCTAGGGAAGTTTAAACATCTCCTGGTAGTGTTGTCTTGTACCACACTATGCTAAACTAATAATAGTAACTCGGAAACGTTTGCGTTTCACATGAAATGCATAACTGACAGGGGATTTTTTTCTAAATTCATGCTCTTATGTTTATTGTTAGTAACGACATCCAGTGCCTTGACGTAATCTTCCAGCTAGTTTCCATCAGCTAAATGAAAGGAACGCCACAGTTTAGGTCGACTAAATGTTACTGCCTTTGCACTTAGGGGCCAGGGGTTTGTCTCAGATGTGTAGGGAACATTGCTATTAAGTAAAAAAATAAAATCAGGAAAAATAGTGTCTAGGGATGTATTACAGGAACATCTACAAGACGAATCCATTTTTCCTTGTTCTTATGCCTTTGCCAAAAAAACATGTGGTGTATAAACAAAGATACACTCATTCTTAAGGTCGCAACAATTGCAGTAAGACGATGCGAGAGCTGGGCAGTGTGAGGTGGGTGTAGACACTCTTACATGTCTGGATGATGTGGGAGGGGCTTTCTGTCCTCCCCGCTGCCTTACTGCCAGCGCAGGAGGGTGTTTTCTTTATTTCACTTCTTCCCAGAATGGACAAGTGACCTTTACAGAATTCTCCTTCCTGGTTTTGAGGCCACACAATAATACAGTGTTACTGCCTTGAGTACACGTGTACACCAGCAGGTATGGTTCAGTAATTAAGGGCTGCCTCTTACTTTCCAATTCAACTTGAAATAGATCAGCATGTTTAATTTATTGTTATGGAAATACTTTTGAATTTCCTGAAGACCATGCATTATATATTATAATAAAACTTTAAAAAGTATATATATATATATATATATATATAAAACTAAAATAAACTAAAATAATTCTAACGAGCCAGGCAAACCTTCTTTTAGTTTTTGGTCTAGTTAGTGTATTTACGTTAAGACTTTTACTCGTTTTGTATTTTTTTTCTTTGGACTTGGTGCTCAAACACTTGACGTGAGGATTCGTACAATGTTATGTTCTTGTTTCTTTTTATTTCCAATTTTTTCCTTGGACATCAACTTGCTATATTACAAGTTGAGCTAACTGAGGTTTTCAAAACGAGTATTACCATTTATATATATATTATAATTTATAATATATATATATGTATATAATTTTATAATATATATATATATATATATATATATATATATAAGCAAATATATGGATATAGATCCGACAGTATGAAGAAAAATATACGGAAAAAACAAACAAAAATCCTAATATGCAATTATGCTGTTTTAATGTTAATATAATGTCAACGTCGGACGTTTCGGTCTAGTAGACCATCTTCAGGACATATTCATAAAACATAATTAACATTAGACTATATTTAATTCATCGTACATCATGTTGAAAAACCGAAAATTTTTGTTTGTTTTTTCCGTATATTTTTCTTCATATATATATATATATATATATATATATATATAACGTAAATAATACTAACTTCTCTTATTTACATGCGGACTATTGTATTCATCATCTTTGTTGTTTTTATCACAACCTTTCGATCGTGTTTTCTGGCCTTCACCAGGTGCTATCTATTAGGGAATTTCGAACAGAGCAATTAATTATATATCTGCGGGAGTAGATTGTTCTCGTTCGTTCCTCAGACAATATCGCGGGATATCTCGTCTAAACTGTTCTTTCTTCTGACCATGCCTCGAGATATCTCGTCTATACTGTTATCGTTCCTCTAATCATGTCTCGAGATATAACGTCTAGATTGTTCTCGTTCCTCTGAACATGCCTCGGGATATCACGTCGAGATTGTTCTTGTCCCTCTAACCATGTCTCGGCACTTCTCATCTAGATTGTTCTCGTTCCTCTGATCATGTCTGGGGATATCGTATCTAGATAGTTCTCGTTCACCAGGGAAAACTTCACCAGGGATATCTTCATCAAAGATATTTTCATCAGGGAAATCGCGTCTAGATTGTTTTCGTTCCTCTGACCATGTGCCGGGAAATCTCGTTCAGGTTGTTCTCGTTCATCTGGCAATATCTCGGAATATCTTACTAGATTGTTCTCGTTCCTCTGACAATGTATCGGGATATCTCGTTAGCATTTTACTCGATTCTCGGGCTATCTAGTTATTTTGTTCACTTTCCTCTTACCATTGAGATATCTCGTTTTAATTCTTCTCGTTCCTCTGACCGTGTCTAGAGATATTTCGTTTAGATTGCTCTCGTTCCTCTGACAATGTCTCGCGATATCTCATCTAGACTGATCTCGTTGTTCTTAAAATGCCTCGGAATTTCTCGTCTACATTGTTCTTGTTCTTCTTACCATGTCTCAGGATATCTCGTTTGGCTTGTTCTAGTTCCTTTGACTATGCCACGGGATATCTCGTTTAGATTACTTCTGTTCCACTGCTCATATCTCGGGATATCTCGTCTAGACAGTTCTCGTTGCACTGATAATATCTCGGGATATCTCGTTTGAAGTGTTCTCGTCCGCTGACCATGTCACGAGATATCTCGTTTAGATTATTTTCGCTCCTTTAAAAATGTCTCAGGATATCTCGTCTAAATTGTTCTCGTTCCGCTGATCATGTCTCGGGATATCTCGTTTAGAATGTTATCTAGTTTAGGTTGTTCCCTTTCCTTTGTCCGTGTCTCGGCATATCTAGTTTAGATTGTTCTCGTCCCCCTGATCATGTCTCAGGATATTACGTCTTTATTGTTCTCGTTCCGCTGACAATTTCTCGCGATATATCGTACTGATTGTTATCGTTCCTCCTATGTCTCGGGATAGCTCGGGCAGATTGTAGTCGTTCTTTGGATATCTCATTTAGATTGCACTTGTTCCTCTAACCATGTTTTGAGATATCTCATCTAGATTCTTCTCGTTTCTTTCTCTGGCCAGGTCTCCGGTTATCTTTTCTAGATTGTTCTCGGTCATGTAACGATGTCTCAGGATATCTCCTTTAGCTTTTTCTCGTTCCTTTGACCATGTCTCGGGATATCTCGTTCAGATTATTATCGATCTTTTGACCATTTTTCAGGATATCTCATATAGATTGTTCTCGTTCCTCTGACCATGTCATGAGATATCTCGTCCAGATTGTTCTCGTTCCTCTGACCATGTCTAGGGATATCACGTCTAGATTGATCTCGTTTCTCTGACCATGTCTCGAGATATCACGTCTAGATTGTTCGAATTTATTAGGACATGTCTCGGGATATATCTCATCTAGATTGTTCTCGTTCCACTGATCATGTCTCGGGATATCACGTCTAGATTGATCTCGTTTCTCTGACCATGTCTCGAGATATCGCGTCTAGATTGTTCTAATTTATCAGAACATGTCTCGGGATATATCTCATCTAGATTGTTCTCGTTCCTCTGACCATGTCTCGGAATGTCACGTCTAGATTGATCTTGTTCCTCTGACCATGTCTCAGGATATCACGTCTAGATTGTTCTCATCCTTCTTGCCTTTGTCCTAAATCTCGTTTAGGATGTTCTCGTTCTTCTGATCATGCCTCACGATGTCCCGTTTAGATTGTTTTCGTTCCTCTGTCCATGTCTCAGAATATCTTATTTAGATTGTTCACGTTCCGCTGACTGTCTCTCGGGACATCTTGTTCTCGTGCCTCTTAACATCTTGGCATATGTCGTCTAGATTATTCACGTTCCTCCGAACATGTCTCACAATAATTCGTTTAGATTGTTCTCGTTTCTCTGATAATGTCTCGGAATATCTTATCTTGATTGTTCTCGTTCTTCTGACAATATCTCAGGTTATGTCGTGTACATAGTTCTCGTTCATCAAGCCATGTCTCGTTTTACGTCGTCTAGATTGTTCTCTTCTTGAACCCTGTCTCGGGATATCTTTTCTAGATTGTTCTCAATCCTCTAACCATGTCTCCCAGCGTTGCAGCAACTGCTCGCAGATCAATGATTAGCGGTGTTATGGGACCTTACCCATAATAACATAATGGACTATTCCATACGTAATAAATACTGCGCCTCAAGAGGAAGCGGGGAGTTCAATCCGAAGTCGGGCGACTGGCTGACTGGCTGATCGGTTGAACTCTCTGCTTTCGGGCGGGGAGGAACCCGAACGAGGCTACGCCGAAGGGCGGAGTCTCTTTCGGGAAGGTAAACCGACCCTGAACCCGTTTATACGGGTTCAAAGGGCATATTTTTGGCCGAGCCCACGGGCTCGGAGATCCCACGTTAAACCGGCCTTGTTCCACATGATGCCCTCGTGGTGGGGGGTGTGACGAAATACCGTTCCGTCTGAAGTCTAGAGTTCAGTCTGAAGTCTGGAGTGAAGTCCGTCAGGAGTCTGTCAGTCAGTCAGAGCGAGCGAGTCAGTCAGTCGAGTCATAGGCAGTTCGAAGCAGAGTCGCATTTAGACAATTACTACTAAACCTGATTGTTCGTACTAACACTTTCTACCTCTCTGTATATATTCCTGTTTGTAATATATCTGTGTTATTCCATATCCGTATTCGAGTTCTTCTATATTAGTTCTACCTTGGACTATCACCGTAGTACAAGGAACCGGACCATAACAAGCTGCACGCAGGTCTTAGCTTGAAGTTAAAGACGTATCAGGTTGAAAAAATTGCATTATTGTACGCGTAAATGTATGTTGTCTATTTTCTCTGTAGCCTACTTCATCATCAGGTTGAAGAATATTTAAGGCAGCATGACGGGACAACATGCGACTGTGATTGACACCATTTCTGGGTAGAAAAGTTTAGAAACCTTATTGCTACATCTGACTT